CTGGCGGAGATTGAACAAAAACAAGAAGAAAAGGTTGAGAGAGGAAAAAGGAGAGGCTCAGCAGCACACATGACGATGTTTGGGGATTAATAGAGAAAACGTAACATCAATCCCGATTCTTGGGGCCACCTTTCCCGCCTTGAGAATTCAAATTATACTCATTTCCAATTTAAAATTTTCCCTATATAAATTACAAAATGTTCCAATTAAATAAAAGTTTTTTTTAGACCACTTTTATACCTAACTCAATGAATTGGATCACGAGATAAAAAAAAATTAAAAAAAAAAGGTCATCCCAATTGGCAACCTAGGTCACAATTTGACATTGGCTCGCGATCGTTCTTCTTTTTGTGAATCAGATACTTGTCTCATTTTATTAAACAAGTGTATTTTTTTTGTTTTAAAAAAAAATCATTTTTTTTCATTCTCTACATATAGAAACCGCACTTTATAGATTTTGGAACACAATTGTAAATTTTAAATAAATTAAAATAAAAAAATATATTTAGATTGAATTTGGTTGAAGATAAAGAGAAAATGAGTTGTAAGACCAGCTTCAGTGTTGCAACACTTCCTTCATTTCGCCAAAGTGGTGTAGCAATTTCTCCTTCAATCCTGCGCTAGATGTTGGCCCCATTCCAGATGTGAACAGTGGCACATGTGGAGATTCACTGTAGTTTTTTTATTTTCTTTTTTTTTTTACGAAAAGATAGAGATATCATTAAAAATCAGAACGAACAATGTTCGAAATATACAAGCCTGATATAAGATATTATATACTAGATCAGTCCTAATGGATAAGGAGGGAATATATTGAAGAATATGCCTACACATGGTTAGGACACGTGGCACGATGCTAATTGGACAAGCCCAACTTGGGCCACAAGGTACACTCCCCCTATAAAAGGGGCTAAGGTATCCCATTCACTCTCTCTCTCTACATTCACAATTATACTCTTGGGATTTGGAATGATACTGACTTGAGCGTCGAAGGCCCGACGCCGGGACCCCTCCCGGCGTTGGGTTCTTGCAGGTACGGAGGTCGACCGAGTCGAAGAAGCCCGAGTGAAATCTTATTCACTTCATTGGCGCCGTCTGTGGGACCCGTTAAAAAAGTCAAGTGGTGTTCCGATCGAAAAATTCCGAAAATCCTCCTTCGACTCAGCCGGCCAACGTGTTCGGATCGTAAAAATGTTTACGTCAACGGGTAGATCTCGTCGAGGTGAATCTCCCCTTCAAATCTCATTCGAAAATTCATCCGGGAAGGCCTTCGATTTGGCCGGTCAAACTTCCCGGATCTAAGAAGTTTTGGTCAACATTAGACCTTCAAATGCGTTTTTCCGGCGATCCGGGAGGGCTATGAAGAATCTGAGGGTACCATCGGAATCCTCTCGGCGAGACGAATCTCCAGCTACCGATCTTCGCCGGACACCGCCGCTGCCGCCGCCGTCCGCCGCCGCATCCGCCGCCGGACGCCACCCAAAGTCGGCCGATCTGAAAAATTCTTACACCATTGCAAAGCTCTCTTCGTGCTCGTTCTACCTTTAGAATTTCAATAAAAAAATCCAACGGGAAGGCCGTCGATTTGTCGGTCAAAATATGTAGATCTAAGAAATTGTTGGTCAACCATCGGTCTTCTTCTTCGATTTCCCGTCGATTTTCGGCGAACCACTTCGAACCGACGGCACCACCGGACTCTCCTCATCGGGGCGCCCTCTCGGATGGTTACCTGCGTCGGAGACGGCAAGTCATTTTTTCCGGCAGATTTTTCCCGGCAGCACACTGTGCTAATTCCCGCAGCCCACAACTTACCGGGTTCTCAATCGCGCAGCCATGGAGTGAAGGCCCGTCGACTAGCTGCTCCAGCTCGCGGCCCAGGAGTGGAGGCTCGATATCCATTACGTGGCCCAGAGGACGAGACCCAAGACCCAGCAGGAGCCTAGCCCGCGAGGCCCAACATCCACCAGGCGCGGGTAGCAGATCTGCCACGCGGGCCGCGCCCAGCCCGCGCGGCCCGCATCTCTCACAAAGGGTGGCCCGCGCGCCCAGCCCGCCTTCTCAGCCATCCATCAGCCTGATAGCGTGGCCCAGGCGTCCTCTAGGCGGCCCAATTTCCATGTGCGCGGCCCAACAAGCATAGGAAAGGCCCAGTGAGTGCAGAAATGGCCTAGAATACTACTAAATTGATCCAACAGCCTCATTTAGTGCTCAAAATTAATTCGAGATGATTAAAAGCGAACGAGAAGGTAATTTAGAATATCATTCTCATGATGAAGGTATGGAGTGGATTTAAATTTTGAGCTTGAGGATTTTTTAATTGGTGAAATTGGAGTAAATATTTGATATATTCGTGGGAATTATTAGACTTATCTATGGAGAATAATTGGATTTATTTGTGGAACATTATATACCTTATACATGGAGCTCATTGGATTATTTGTGTAACATTATTTGACTTATACGTGAAGCTTATATGATTTATTCATGGAGATATTTGGTTTATTGAGGAGTATTATTGGATTTATGGTGGAGTATTATTCGATTTACTTGAGGAGAATTACTTGATTTGCTCGAGATATTATGTGATTTATTTGCGGAGAATATGTGAAATATTCGTGGACATATCTGGTTTATTCGTGGAGGATTGTTTGACATATTCGTGGAGAATATTTATAATATTCGTGGAGTTTATTTGATATATTTGTGGAGAATATATTCGATTTATTCGGAAAAAATTATTTGATCGCTGCGACTAGCAATGTTTCCGAATGGCATTGTTCCATGCTTTGTACATGCTCGTTGAATCGAGCTATAGTCTTTGACACTTTTGTCATTGTTTTGAACGATATTAGCGATAGATTATTTTGGAATCAAACATACCTGGGCTCCTATAAAGTGAGATCGAAATGTTGATATCAGTCACTGCCATTTCCAGATAGAATGGTGTGGCAAAGAGTGATACCATTTCTGAGCCCTAGGCCCCAAGGTGAGGGAGAACATGCGGCACATCAGCGCATCGGTGGCCCCGTGGAGATCCATCCACGAGGTATACTGACCGAGGTGAGCGTCTGGATCAGAGGTCCTATCGTAAAGACCTATCTGGGGAACTTTGTTTTTTCTCGATAACAACTCCATAGTAAGCTCGAGTGTCAAAGGAGAATCTGCTTCTTGATAAACTTGACCCGACGTGAAAGCTCGTCGTGGAGAGTCTTCTTGAATTTTCTGCCGAGTTTCCAACTCGGCAACTTTCTTCCGGAGAATTTCTAGTTCCACCGACTCATGCCTAGAGCAATTCCTCTCTATTGTTTGGCGTAAGTCGGTGTGCTTTTGTGGCTGTGGTAATGTCGGTCGTGGAACTGCAGGAGGTCGTTGGTAGTGACCTGAGTGGCTCTCAGTAGTCATCTCTTGTGGATTTTCCACTGGTTGATTGGTGACAATTGGAGAATCAACTTGAGTTTGAACAACAACCCCTTCTTTCTGCGGCAACTCATTATGCAGTTGTGAGGTTACATGCGTCGTGGCCGCATGTGCATGACGTCCTTGTACCAGCGACTTCGGCGGCTTTGCCCGAATAATCAGGAGCGGGAACAGAGGCCCCCGACATCGTTTGAGCCATTGAAGCAGAAAAACCTTTCACAAACTCTAGGTTTTGAAATAGAGTTGCGTAATCAGGTGTTGTTGGCGGCATAGTTATTCTTCCATCAGACTGGGCAGCACCACGACTATGTCCAGCCTCTGGAGTTTTTTCTTGCTGTTTAGAATTAGATATGATGATTGCTTGGTTGATGAAAACAAACGTAAACTTGACGAGAGGTATGTGGCTTATGTGGAGGAAATCGAAAATTAACGTCAAATAAATTATGAGACCCTCCTTCTAGCGTCAAATTGTTGTTGTATGGGATTTAACAAACGATAATAAATCGTAATTAAAGCGTAAACGTGTAGACTTCGCATTATTTCTTAGTAATTGCAGAGTACAGTAAGTCGGTATTGTGTATAAACCGAGCTATGTTTGCATGTGCGTAAAAAAGAAGCCCGTACAATAATAAATTCCGCTATTTATAGTAGTGTGTGTTTGACTTCTAGAACAAGGTAGATATGATCGCATTTAATGCAAAGGAGCTTTTTGAAGCGATTGGTTCGTCAATGTGGGGACAATAAAGATTGCAAATATAGCACGTGGTTCAATTGCGTGGATGTCTCGTCACCTACTTCGGTTTCTGGTCATCCCAGACCTCGGTTTGCAGGGAGAACCTTTGAGAAGGATCTTTGCGGAAGTCGGCTGTTGAGAAATCTTCGAGAAGTCGGTTGTCTTCTGTATGCGAAGTCGGTCTGCATTCGTGTATAAAGTCGGTTTGGTGCTCAGATCGATCCGAGTTGCACTAAGTTAGGCACATGAGTTGGTTCGAGCAGTCATTTTGTATATTTCGTTAGTCTTCACTTTAATCTTAACAAATAAGGTCGGTTATCAACAAGGAAGCAAGGAGGTGGCGCTCGAGATATACAACCCCAACCTTTGCAGCAAGTGCCAGCTGCACAAGTCCATGTTTGTGGCCAAAGTTGGAAGGGACATCCAGGAGCATGCTTGGCCGGTAAGAACATATGCTAGTGGTGTAAGAAGCCGGGACACGTGATCTTGCAATGCTCGAAAAGGACAAATCGGCAACAGCAACAGAATCCGCCTCCACAGGAACAACCAAGGCTTGGAGGAGGAGGTCGAGCACGAGTCTACCAGCTGGTACAAAATGAGGCCGAACCAAGGCAGGAGTGAATGAGCAGGACGAGGATTGAAGGTTGAATACATTTCTTGCATTTACTTATAGGATTTGAGACAATTCGCTTTTTATTTTTAGCAACTTTTCGTTTATTTATTTGGGGACAAGTACGAATTATACATTTAAGGTATGAATAAATGAAAAATTTATTCGAGAATTTAAGGTATGAAAAATGGGGCATTATACATTTAATGCCGCCGCATCTACCTCAAAAGATGGGCCGAAGATTACTATAAATATAAGCATTTATTCTTGTACGAGGATCTTTTCGAACACATTAAATTCCATCATTTATTAACTCGGTAAACATAAAAGGACCTCCTGTACTACAAAAATCGACATCAAAATCCTATAAAACTCGCTCATAAACAGCTTTCTTCAGAGCTTAATCTCAATTATTATCGTTGTTTAATTCCACATAACAACACCAATAATGAAATAAAATACTAAAATTTAAGAGTAGCAAATGGGGCACTACACGTACTTAAAGGTGTGTATTTGTTTGGGATATAGAGTGACATTTTGAGATTTGAGACATTTTTAGATTTTTTGATTTTGAAGGAATCTCACGAAAATCTTAAATTTGAATGTGAAATTATGAGTGAAATTTTATGTATGATTTTTTTCAAGTCCTAATAAGCTTGCATAAAAAAACTTTAGTTTGAAAATAACTCGGACTTTTTTAAAACTTTAAAATCTCAAATGAATATAAAAAAACTTTAAGACAATTATAGAAAATTTAAATTAAATACATTTATAAGATTTTAAAAACATTTAAAAAATTCAAACGAATATACCCTATAAATTAGAAAAATTACAAATCGTTTGAAAAGTCCTTGGGTTATATGTTTCTGATTTATATTCACCATCTCTAATTGGATAAATTATAAAGTCAGTTGGCAGGTACAATAAGTATCATAAAACTGGATATTAAACGGTGACTTATGTGACAAATAGGAAAAAAGAAGAGAGAAAAAAAAAAAAAGTATTGTATATTGTATTCTTTCTTGTAGACAATATTTAATTCCAATATTAGAAAAAGTCTTGGTATACACGACACACCCATTATCTTAATTTGTTGGAACTTTGAATACGGTTCCATCTCANAAAGGTGTGAGAAAGAGAGAGAGAGGATGGAAAGAGAAGTGTTGAAGAAATCTGCAGCGCACTTTGTTTTTGTTCATGGGATTGGAGGAGGTGCTTGGTGTTGGTACAAAATTAAGTGCCTCATGGAGAATTCGGGTTATCGGGTTTCCTGTATTGACCTCAAAGGCTCTGGCATGGATCTAACCTGACCCGAATTCTGTTCTCACTTTCCAACAGTATAATAACCCTCTCATTCACTTCCTCTCTTCCTTACCTCACAATCACCAGGTTTTCTTAATTATTTTCCATTTTACTCGTAATTGATTAATATATTCTTCTTCTTCTTCTTCTGATAGATGTATAATTGATGATGTTGATGGTGCAGGTTATATTGGTGGGGCATAGTGCAGGGGGACTAAGTTTAACTCAAGCTATTCACAAATTTGGTCCCAACAAAATTAAGCTTGCTGTCTTTGTTGCTGCAACTATGTTCAAATCAGGGTTTCTCACACCCCAAGATTTTAAAGATGTAAGTAACCTTTCTTTCTCATTTCTAATTAGAACCTTTAATGTTTTGCAATCTAATCACCACTTTTACAATTTTGCAAATTCATACACTACTTTTACAATTTTTGCATTCGTTGACGAAAATCTGACATGTGATTGACATTCGTTAGACTTCTTTAACAGAACCGTCATTTACTTTCTCTATGTAAAGTGCTGAACACCAAATCAAACTCCTTAGAGCTGATATGAGATTGAGATATATCGTGTTACTTCGGAAAAAAATTACTTTCCCTTTTATCATTTCCCAAATGATAATTATGCTATTTTAAATACAAAATTTCTTGTTTTTACCTTATATGCAGAATAAATTATCAATATTCGATACAATAGCTATTAATGGAGTAATTTTGCTTTCCAAAGAACAACTATTGTGTTTTTTTGTTTTAATTAGAAATGTTATTCTAGACGAGTATCTCCTCACCTTCCAACTTGTACTCAATTAATAAACAATCAAAAGATTTGTCTTCGGTAAGCTTGTGCTTGTGAAAGCTCAGTTAGGTTAGGCTCGGCTATTTAACCCAAACCCTTGAACGAGCTTAAGCTAATTCAGCTCAAGTAGCTAATAAACGGACTCAATTAGCTATACTATTGATAGTATAGTCAGTCCATTCTAGTAGACTATCTGACACCGTATGGTGAATATAAAATAACCGATTTAAGGCTGGCTACGATGATATTAATTAATTCAGAAACGCTGTCATCCAGTTGTAAAGCAACTATATTTACATTTGTAGTGTATTGATGGAAGTCTTACACTGGGCCCCAAGTGTATAGCAGCTCACATAATGTGACATAACTCAAAAAACAAAGTTCTACTGACAAAGATGAAAAAGATAAAGAAAGGTTTCAATAATGGAGTATTTGTTTGTAATGATGGAAATGCGAGCTTTTATAAAGTACTGTACATCTTTTCATTTTTCTGTTGCATTCTCCTTCTTAAAACAACTATCGCTATATCAATAAATTTAGAGCATATAAGAAAAGAGGTGCAAACCATATATAGCTAAATATTAGAGTAATTAGGTACTGATCGTGATGTTATATTTATATTATGAATGTTTAATATTAAAGTTCAAAAATCTCTAAGTTTGGGTTTCAATCAGAAATTGTTGTACACAATACCAATAGAGGTTAGTTAATTTATTGTACGAAGCCTAAAATTTATCCATATGTGCTTGTGGGATGAGATAAGATAATAATAGTTGAAGAAGAAAAAAGAAAATGCAATTTATTGAAGCGGTGAAAAAGAGGTAAGGAATGTTTGTGGAAATTGGAATCATTATTGTTTGTTCACGTAGTGTTTGATTGCAACAAGTAACAACATTCCCTGAGGAGATAATTAATTTATTAATTGCTTACAACTGTCATCGATTTCAGTCCCTTTGCCTGTCAACTTCATTTTCCCAAATCCAAATAGTACTACTATTTTGCCATCCCATTCCCCACCCTCATATAATTGGACATCTATGCAACCTGTTTAATAAATATAATATTGTATTTGATACTTGAAAATATGAGTTAGCATATATATATATATATATTGTATTGATATGTATATATATTGCTCTTGTATCCACTGTCATCTAAGAATCAAAATATCCATTCAATTATTCTTCATTTTATCCAGGGTTGTCTACAGGAATTAACTACAAAAATGTTCTCCACTTTAATAGTTAAGGAACCAAATCAACTTATTTTAAAATGCAACTATTAATTTTTTTAGCTACAACAGTCCGAACCATTCGAACCAATTTTTTATAGGTACCAAGTATAGATTAGCTACAATTTATAAATAGTTATAAACAAGTGGAATGAACCACTATGTATAAATAGTGACATTTCACTATTTGGAGAAATGGGAATAGCGAGAGGATATCAATTTTGTGTAAATTATTGATTGTAATGTCGGACAAGTTTGTCTGTAAAAGGCACCTAGAATGCAATGGAAACACACAGAAGAAAGAAGAAAATATTGAGTATAATTTATATCCATTTTCTATATTGAGTTCTTTGTTTTTCCTGTTTTTATAACACGTTATCAGCACGAGTGCTCTACCCGGTCAGGAAGTTAGAAATTTACTATTTATATATATGTATATTACATAAAAGTTAGTATATTTTACTAATCTACATATTACCATTATTTTTGACAAGTAAGCTCTGCCATAGTAAAAAATATGTGGTATGAATATACCAAATATTGTTATAAAAATAGGAAAAATAAAGAACTCAATATAGAAACTGGATATAAATTATAATTAATTTTTCTTCTATCTTCTGTGTGTTTTCCATTGCATTCTAGGTGCCTTTTATAGGCAAACTTTTTCGACATTACAATCAATAATTTACACAAGATTGTTATCCTCTCACTACTCCCATTTCTCCAAATAGTAAAATGTCACTATTTATGCATAGTGGTTCATTCCACTTGTTTATAACACTCCCTTTGAATTACCACTATGCAATGTGCGTTTATGCTGCCTCATTAAAAACCTTATCCAGAAAAATTCTGTGGAAAAAAAAAACCGAGATAAGGGTAAAAGAGTACAACCGCACATGCTCCCCTCGAGTTATCATCTGTGCAAATCTCGAAGATGTCTCATTCTAATGTTATGGACGTGCTTTCGGAATATTGTAGTTGGGAGCGCTTTTGTAAATAAATCCGCTGCATTATCACTTGATCGAATATATTGAATCTTGATTTGTTTGTTCCTTCAAGCTCTAGAGTGTATGAGAAGAACTTTGGTGGGATATGTTTAGTTCTGTAACTCTTAATGTATCATTCCTCAGTTTGAGTGACACATGCTGCATTGTCTTTAAATATCACCGTCGGGTCTTTATTGTTCAATAATCCACTGGCTTATTGAATGTATTGAGTCATGTTTCGGAGCTAGATGCTTTTTCTAGTTGCTTCATGAAGTGCAATGATTTCAACATCGTTTGAAGATGTAACAACTAGTGTTATTTTTTCTGAGAACGCTAAGAAAATGCACTTCCACCAATTGTGAAGACGTAGCCAGTTTGAGATCTCGCCTTATATGGGTCTGATAAATATCCTGCATCTGCAAAACCAATCATTTCAATTTTTTTTTTTCATTTGAGTAAAATAATCCCAGATCGGTTGTTCCTTGGAGATAACAGAATATATGCTTGATTCCATTCCAGTGTCTCCTCGTAGGTGATGAGTTATATCTTGCTAAATAAGTTGGTAGCAAAAGATCTATCTAGTCTGGTGCACTTAGCAAGATACATAAGAGTTCCTATTGCACTCATATTACCTATGCACTCATATTACCTCAGGACCAAGTATTTCTTCATTTTCTTCAGAAGGTTGAAATGGATCCTTTTCAACATCTAATGTTCGATTAACCATCGAAGTACTAAGGGGATTTGCTTTGTCCATATTGAATCGTTTCAGTACTCTTTTAGTATAGTTAGATTGATGGACAAATATCCCATTTTGTACTCTCTTTATCTGTAAGCCGAGGCAATATTTGGTTTTTCTGAGATCTTCATTTCATATTCGCCTTTCAGAAAAGTGACTGCTTCTCGTATTTCATTTGTTGTCCCTATAATATTTAGATCATCAACATATACAATAATTATCACAACTCCATTATATAATTTCTTTGTAAAGACACACGGACATAATTGATCATTTAAGTATCCTCTTTTTAACGATTGTTCACTCAAACAATTTCCACATACGCCCGGATTGTTTCAAGTCATATAATGGCCTTTGCAGCTTTATCGCACGTAACTCTTAAGGTTTGGAGTTTAGTTCTTCGGGCATTCTGATCCATACAGGTAAGCAGTCACAACATACATGAGACGCATCTCAATATTTTCATGGATAGCTAAATTGATCAAATATCTGAAAGTAATTGCATCCATGACAGAGGAATATGTTTCATCATAATCGATCTCAGGCCTTTGAGAGAATCCCTGTGCTACCAAGCGAGCTTAATATCTCGTGATCTCATTTTTCTCATTTCTTTTTCTGATGAAAACCCATTTGTATCCAATAGGTTTTATGCCATTTGGTATAATGGAAATATGCTAAAAAAACTTCCCGTTTATTGAGTGAATCTAACTCGGCTTGATGACGCCTTTCCATTTATCCCATTCATGTATTTTCTGACATTCAGTTACAGGTTTTGGTTCAGGATCCTCAACTTCATTATCAATGTCTTTCGATACCATATATGCAAATGCATCAATATTTATTATCTCATCTCGCTTCCAAAAATTCCCATTATTTACGTAATTAATGGAAATTTCAATATTTTCATTTCTTCCCGAAATTTTTCATCATCTTGATTCTTTTTTAAATTCTGGTCATGAATTTCTCTTTTCTTTCGAGGATTCTTATCCTTAGACCCAATTGGTCTTCCACGTTTCAAGCGTGTCTTTGACTCATTTGGCATATTATCATTTGCCATTTATTTTGGGATCTCAATTCGAGCAGGGGCATTCACAACTGCCACATGTGATTTGGTCACCCTTTTTAAATCGGTAAATGCATTTGGCAATTAATTTGCAATATTCTGCAGATGTATGATCTTTTAAACTTCTTGCTCTCTTTGTTTGGTAGGAGGATCAAGATATGATATTGATGATGTACTCCATTCAATATTTCTCTCAATTGATTTTTCTAAGGGGGGAACAATTCTTCATTAAAATGACAATCATCAAACCGAGCTGTAAAAACATCACTTGTTTTTGGTTCAAGGTATTTGATTATTGATGGAGATTCATATCCAACATATATTTCCAACCTTCTTTGAGGTCCCATTTTTGTATGTTGGGGCGGAGCAATTGGTACATACACTGCACAACCAAGAACTCTTATATGTGCAATATTTGGTTCTCGACCATATGCCAACTGTAATGGAGAGTATGTATGGTTAACTTGGTCTTATTTGAATTAGATCATCTTCATGCAGAATAACATGTCTCCATACCGAAGTGGGGAGTTTTGTCCTCATTATAATGGTTTAGCTATAAGATGCAACCGTTTAATTAATGATTTGCTAGACCATTTTGAGTGAACATGTGCCACAAGATGTTCAACATCAATTCCCCACTGCCATACAATAACCATTAAATGCTTGAGATGTAAACTCACCAGCATTGTCAAGTCTGACCCTTTTGATATTATAATCTGGGAATTGAGCCCTTAATTTAATAAGTTGGGCGAGTAATTTAGCAAACTCACGTAAGATTTAGAAAATGTGACATTTTCTAAATTACTCGCCCACCTTAATAAATTAAGAGCTCAATTCCCATATTATATTATCAAAAGAGTCACAGACTTGACAATACTGGTGAGTTTACATCTCAAGCATTTAATGATTATTGTATGACAGAGGGAATTGATGTTGAACATCCTGTGGCACATGTTCACATTCAAAATGGTCTTGCAGAATCATTAATTATACGATTATATCTTATAGCTAGACCATTAATAATGAGGACAAAACTCCCCACTTCAGTATGTGGACATGCTATTCTGCATGTAGATGATCTAATTCGAATAAGACCAAAGTGCATACCATACATACTCGCCATTACAGTTGGCATATGGTCGAGAATCAAATATTGCATATATAAGAGTTTTTGGTTGTGCAGTGTGTACCAAATGTTCCGCCCCACCGTACAATAATGGGGCCACAAAGAAGGTTGAGAATATATATTGGATATGAATCTCCATCAATAATCAAATACCTTGAGCAAAAAACATGTGATGTTTTTACAGCTCGGTTTGATAATTGTCATTTTAATGAAGAATTGTTTTTCCCCTTAGGTTGGAATGAAAAATTAATTGAGAGAAATATTGAATGGAGTACATCATCAATATCACATCTTGATCCTCCCACCAAACAAAGAGAGCAAGAAGCTCAAAAGATCATACATCTGCAGAATATTGCAAATCAATTGCCAGATGCATTTTCTGATTTAAAAAGGGTGACCAAATCACATGTGGCAGCTGTGAATGCCCCTGCTCGAATTGAGATCCCAAAAGAAATCACAAATGATAATATGCCAAATGAGTCAAAGACACGCTTTAAACGAGGAAGACCATTTGGGTATAAGAATAAGAATCCTCAAAAGAAAAGAGAAATTCATGACCCGAATTTGAAAAAGAATTAAGATAATTGAAAAATTTCGGGAAGAAATGAAAATATTGAAATTTCCATTAATTACGTAAATAATGGGAATTTTCGGAAGCGAGATGAGATCATAAATATTGATGATGCATTTGCATATATGGTATCGAAAGAAATTGATAATGAAGTTGAGGATCTTGAACCAAAATCTGTAACTGAATGTCAGAAAAGACATGATTGGGATAAATGGAAAGGTGTCATCCAAGCCGAGTTAGATTCACTCAATAAACGGAAAGGTTTTGGGCCTATTTCCATAATACCAAAAGGCATAAACCTATTGGATACAAATGGGTTTTCATCAGAAAATGAAATGAGAAAAAATGAGATCACGAGATATAAAGCTCGCCTTGTAGCACAGGGATTCTCCCAAAGGCCTGAGATCGATTATGGTGAAACATATTCCCCTGTCATGGATGCACTTACTTTCAGATACTTAATCAATTTAGCTATCCATGAAAATCTTGAGATGTGTCTCA